CATTAACTTGCTTAATGCCGTAGCCATTTCTTTATAAGTCCGGTAAAATGGTGGAATTATATCAGTTGATGTATAACTCAGTATTTCCATTTGCGGGTTTAGTATAGAATGATATTTAAATAAACCGCCATGCCAATTTTGTAAATAAAGATGGTAATCGTCGAGCGTGATTATGTGATTGGCAAAGTATTCCGCGAATGTAGCAACTGTGGGGCGTATCAAATCGAAGTGAAATAACATTAAAACTTTCATTTCAGCTTGGCGAAACTCCTCCACAGTATAAACATCTCCAACAAGCTTATTCATATCAACAAACTTCGGTGCATTTATATCAGCTTCCTCAATTTTCGCCGCAATAATTAAACACGTTAATGCTGTTAGATTTAGTTTTTCGCTTCGAATAGTAAAATTATCCATAAAACCATCGAGCAAGTAAAGTGCTGAAAATATTAAAATATTATTATAATAAAAAATATGAATTTAGTGGAGAAATTTTTTTATTAATGAGTAATATTTACATAAGTATGATGTAGCGACACTTATTAAAAAAAATTTTGGGATGGTAATATGTTTACCAAATATTTAAATGATTTTACGTTACTATTATTACCTAAATTATTTAAGTAATCAATTAAATCAACGCTTATTTTTTGAAATTATCAAATAATAAAAAAGTTTGTATTATACAGCAATTCTTTATTTTATATTTAAGGGTTGAAATTTATTTCTCACCTAAATGTAAAGTTGTACGAGAAAGTGAATGCAGTTCCGCAGCCACCTTTAACAACCGCAACATTGCTTCCCTGAAAGTGCATTGTTTGGATTGAAATCCCAAAACAATTCGTCGCAACTCTGTCTCACGTAATGTTTGGAATATGTCGTCCGAGTAATCACAAAGCCAGTGTGATATTTCAGTTCGCTGCAAAATACCTACGTCCTAATTTTTATAATTTTGCATAAATTGTGCTCACATTACCTGGTTGGTAAACAACTCAAAAGGGTTTGAATATTGTGGGAACATGGGTATATCCAATGTTGTTGTTTCCATTTCTGGCCAGGTAACGTCAACTCCATAATTAGTAAGAGGAATAATCGGGGAATGACAAAAAAAATTAGAATATCTGCAAGAATCTGGTGATTTATTACTTTCCATTTCCCGATCACCACTATTATTTAMATATATTTTCTAAATATTGCATTTCTATATGCCGTTTATGTGCATACATAAAAATGTGAATTCTTAAATTTGACAAGCGGTTCCATTAACGGTTATCTACAATGGCTTTTGTTCGACGCTTTTGCTATTGACAGAGTGTTGTTGTCAATTTTGCAGGGTTTCTATTTTTTGTATAGGTATGCTTTGCAGGCTATAAAGACTACAAACATATATAAATTTGCTACTTTTTTAACGGATAATCCTTGAAAACTATTCAAAAAATTTTATCCACAACTGTACCCAATTTAAATAATAACTCAAACTTATTAGCTTATTAAAATAAATTTTATTATTGCATACGTTTAGTGTACACAAGATTAAACAATAACTGACTACTTTTCAATAGTCCTTCTTTTCATTTTTGAGCATATTGCGCAAATATAATTTATATATGTACATTTAATAAATATTTCCATTTTATACAGTGAAATAAACAACTAACAAAAAGGCAAATAATCTTAAAATCTATTTTTACACAAGAGTTAAAAGAAACGGAAATTTTTTGTTTTCAATGTAAAAATGATTTAAAATGTTACTTTAACTGAAATTAGTTTTAGGCTTTCCAAATTTCTGCTTTTTATGGAATTTTTTCGGGTTGATTCCATACGCCCTTAAACGATCGTCACTAATGCTTACCCCATCCTTGGAATCTTTGTTACTTGAATCGAAGTTCTTTGAATTCGGTTTAAATTTCTTTTTCTGTATTTTGTTGGACACAAACCGMGAACTCTGCTCCGAGTTTGCTTGACCGTTACCTCTTCCTTTATTATTTTTATTCCCTTTAAACGGATTTGGTTTATTTAGGTTACTTGATTTGGTTTTACCAAACGCTGAGTTACTCGACGCTTCGACAACGGAGCTAGTTGTATTTGTGGAAGAAGATTGATTATGATTAGTGGATTTAAATGGGTTAGGTTTATTGTCTTTTGGCGATTGGTTGTTTGAATTTTGATGTGCTGATGGGTTGGTTTCGGGCGCAACATTGCTAGCTTTAGATTTACGTTTTTTACGCTTCTTTTTACTATTAGTTTGCACGTCTTCATTCATTTTTGCGCTTTTGTCAGCCTTTGCGTTTGGATCATCTAACTTAAGTTTTTTGTCTGCAATTCCGTCACTATCGTTAATGCTAGAAGATTTATTGGTTTCCTCTTTTACTTGAACTTTACGTTTATTTTTATTCCCCATTTTACTAATTTCAGTAATGTTTATTGGATCGTTTTCAGTGGATTCAGGGTTTGACCGTGCATTTAGTATATCCTCCTCAGGGCCTTCATCATCGGACCTACGACAATAAATTATTGGAGAAATTTTGTATAATGTATATAAATAAATATAAATTATGTGTTAAATCATACCCTTCGCCATATAAACTTTTAAATATCTTTCGTTTAAGTGCTTCATTTTTAGCTTTCAATTTATATAATCTTTGATCCTTTTTTTCCAAGTGTTCTGGTCGAATTTGGATGGTTTTCTTTAAACTTGCCCATTGATTAAGTTCTTTATTTTTGGCTAAAAGTATCTAAAGGAAGAAAATATTTAATCAAATTATATATGTGGTAAGATGCATACTCATTACCTCCTCTATGGTGAGACCGAAATCGTTTGGCGTTGTCTCTGTATACTTAAAACGGCATGGAATGTCGCCAATCATGTCTTCACAATCTAACTTATAGTATTCATCAATATATTCTTCATACGTTTTCTCATCGACTGGATCAAACACTGGTTTCTCGGTCTTTATCATTTCCATAAATTGGCTTTTACGACCTTTTCGGCCTTTTCTCTTTTTTGTATTTTCAATAAGTTCTTTTTGCAATTGTTCTTTGGCCGCCTCAGGATCATAATCACAGTCCATATTGAAGTCTTCATCTTCACAATGAGTATCATTATAATATTCGTCATCTTCCACATTCGGATCATAATTGTCCCAGTCCTCCACTTTTAGTTCCTCAATATCTGATGGACATTCTGGTTTTTCTTCACCCTCATCCACTTGATAATATTCGTCATTGAATATTTCTTGCATTCGTCGATCATGTGCTTCCGGATCAAAGTCTTCCTCGAGCTCTTCGTCTTTAAAGCCAAGTTCTTCATTACCGGTTACCATTTTAATTTTTTGTATTTTATCCTCAATCTCTTTTCGCTTCATTTCTTTCACTATTTCCAGCTCTTTCATTTTCTGTTCCTTTTCAAACTTTTTGCGTTCTTTTATTTCTTGCCTTTTTTGTTTCCTCCGATCGTCGGTTTGGCGTACGGATTGCTCAATTGTTCTAGGATAGCGTTTTATGAACTCGGCATCGGGTTCTTCGAAACGGAAATTGTATTTTTGTTCGAATTCTGCTTGTTTTTCTAGTTCTTCTTCGTCCTCGGACAATGGTTGATTATCCCCAACGATTTCATCATACGTGGGAATATCTGAAGACTTGGTGTTTCCATAACTATAAAGAATAACAAAATGAGTACTAATTTATATTCTTCATGAATTATATTTACCCTTTATTCAAAATATAATCTCGTAAGAAGCGTTCACTTTGTGGTAAGTTGTTACTGTTCCAGTAGTTTTTAAGGGGTTTTAAGGATTCTTTTATAGGATCTTCTATGTCGTCCTTTTGTCCAGCCAACCATTTCAAGTAATCTGCATCTTCTTTGTCTTGCTCGTCTTTCGTTTTATTTCTTTTTTTAAAAATTCCCCCAAATGCGTCTTCATTAGCTTCATCGTCCTCTGAATCGTTTTTGTTAACCACATTCATAAATTCTTCTTTTAATTTGCGCTCCTCTTCSGCGAACGTTGGTGATGGTATACGTTTTGAGGTAACTTCTTCAGAATCTATTTCATTAAAACAAAAACTTAGCATTACAAAATTTTTGTAGCAATTATTGCATTGATCTTACCATCTTCAAATATTCCGCCTTTGTCCAAAATAACTTGGCGTTCATAATCCTTTAAGGTTACTGGTTTATGTTTTCTATCTTTTGCCACATTTTTTTCATCTTCAGCGCCATCGTTATCTTCATTTATAGATTGGAAAAATTGTGTGCTTTTATCATATATCGTTGGATCCTTATTTTTTAATGACGACAAGGTTTTAAGGAATTCTTTATCAAATTTTATATCGACCACTTCATCTTCTTCTGACGAAGACTCACTATCACTTGATGACTCCGAATTAACATCATATCCACGATCCTTAACTAAAAACCAAGTAAACTCAGTGAATACTTCTTTGACTTAAAAATTAGATACTTACATTTTTTCAATAACTCCTTTTTACGGAAACTATTATATGATTTTGCATACTCCTTATTAGTGCTTATTTGGACATCCTCTCCATCACTTTCATCTGATCCTTCAAACAAATTTCTATTCATTCTGGCGTACAGTTATATTTTATTTTCCGAATCGTATTACATTGAAGGAAAGCTAAATATTCAAAACAATTTTCTTTTACACGTGCCAAAGAACGTCAAACCAGAGAACGTATATCATCATAAAATTTACGTTCTCTGGGCAAACACTACGAACTGCCTTACCATCAATTTTTATCAATTTATTTTGTTGATGTTTTGCATGGCTTTTGGCAGAGACCATACGAATATACTCAAATACTGAAATAAAATTAATAAAAACCGATTCGTTTGTCATCATCATCAACTTTTTATATGAAATATACGTTAGTTGTTTTACGATTTATAATATTCTTCAAACGTTTATGTAAAATCAGCTTAACTTTTTCCTAGTGGCAACGAAGGCACTTTTATCGATACATATTATTTGACAAACAGCTGTTGTATAATAATTTGTTTTTGATAAAATAGATTATTGAAATATACATTTTGTAAAAAAAACCTTCTAAAAAATAATAAAGTCATGGCGGATACAGAGGATAATTCCATAGCTGAGAAAGACAATTCAAAGAGTACGTATGAAATCATGTTGAGGGTACTTTTAAATTATTGGATTTATTTTCAGTTTGTATACTACTCAATGCTACTGGCAATGTTCCGATAATCAAAAAACGAAAATGGACAGTAGATCCTAACAAAACTGTAAGTTGGATACAGAAGTTTATACACCAATATCTAAAACTAGATGCAAATGAACAGATCGTAAGTTTTCCACATAACAGAAAAAAAATCTCTTAGAATCTTAGTTAACGTTTAATGTTTTTTAGTTTCTTTATGTTAATCAGACCTTCGCTCCTGCACCGGATCAAATTATAAAAAACCTCTACGAATGTCATGGAACTAATGGGAAACTGGTTCTTTATTATTGCAAAAACCAAGCTTGGGGATAAATAATGAATACAATATAGAGGGACTATCTGAGTAGTATTAAGATGTATTATGTGTATACAATCACTATGATTGTAAGTACTTATAGGAACTTATTTAATATGTTTAAGCAAATTTTATATTAATAAAAAAAAATCGTTTAAGAGCATCATAATGCGTTTATTTTAACTATTAATTGGAACTTTACAATCTCCAATTTTTAACTTTAATCATCAAATAAAACCGATTTAAAACATTTATTTAGAGCCTCTTATTGATTCCAATTGATCGGCAGCCTCTTTAGAAATTCTATGATATTTGGCGATGGCAGGTCTGTAGTAATAGGCTTTATAATCGTTACGTTCCGCCATTTTTTCATTCACCTCTTTCTCAAGTTGTCTAGAAAATTAATGAATATAATATTTATATGAAAATTATATTAATATTTCTCTTACCTTATCATTGCTTTCTCATTTTCTTCAAAAATATGGTGCAAGGCCTTTTCATATTCTTGTTGTGGAGAAGGATAGATGTACCGAGATATAAAGCGAGAAATCGGGTGCTGAAATATTAAATTATTTGATTTTAGTTGCATATCATTAGAGCTACATTCACTTCAGTTGAAATGCCATTTTTATTACGTTTTTTGCCTCTTTCGCTGCTTTTATATTAAAAATAAATCAAATTTTTATATCTTAGAAAAACTAACCTTATGATATTCCCAATGTTTGGGCTCGTAACCTTCTGGAATTTCGGTCAACTGAGCTGGGCCAATGAAWATGTTAGTGTACAAAACAATTCCTGTAATAGGAATAAGACCGATCATGACGTAGAAGTGCAACAAATCTTTGAACTTATTCCACTGGAATCGAGAAGGCTGTATTGTAAACTGATGGTGGTCATGTCCGGATTTTCGTATCTGCTGTTGTACGGCTAAAATATTTATAATTTTATAAGGAAATAATTTGTAAGTAGAATATACGAGTTGCGTAATGTATTTGGCAAAAAACGCCGCAACTTCAAAGTATAATTACTTACCATTTCGGCAAACTGGTGAGTTTAAAATGTTCCTATATTGGGATAAAGCCGTCAATGGACGTGAAATGCTGCTCCAAGACACCATTTTTAGGATGCAAAATCAACGAAGTTTTGCAGGAAAAACAATGTGAACAATAAAAATACTTCACTATCCGTTTAGAGCAGGTGCGGGAAACGTCAATGTCAACTTTGACATCGAAGAAAGAACGAAATAAGAAAGAGATTTATAATCAAAACAAAAATAAACATAAAAGTTATAATTTAATAAATAATGTTAGAATACCGAAAAGAGTTCTATCATTCTTGATATTAGAAAAACGATGTTTAATTTAATGTTTTATTTTTGTGCTTAAAAAATTTGTGTTCTTAAAAAATTAACTTAGTTGATATAAATGAACATATGTTACATTTTGTGTAAAAGTGTAGATTAGAGAATAGGAACACTTTGCAATGGATCATATCCTTTCAAAACATTAGTWATTTTTTTCTTTATTTCCTAGTTATTTACAAATTATGGTATTTACATTTGTTTTATTCATGTCCACGATTTAGTCATACTAAATGAATATTGGCAATCCAGGTTATTTCATTCATTGACAGTTTCTTCAGTCGGTATAGCAGTTCTAAAAACGAACAGGTCGATTGGGTTACAATCAAATACTCTTTTTCGTGGCATAGACTTTTGCTGGCGTGCTTATATTCTCAGTCACAGTTGAAATCTATTAATATTGTTGGTAAAAATACTATAAATTAGCATCATGTATAGTGGAGAGGATTATGGAAGTGCTGTGAGTAAATTCGTGTATTTAAAAGGATCAATAATTGATGAAGAACACCGAGTCGTAAATTTTTTAACATAACCATACTTTCTGGTTGTGGTGACAACAATCCACCGAGTATTCATTTTCAGATGATCAATTTACTTCCTTTAATCATTTTAGGACTACTATGACGATTATGGACACACCGGCGATCCGCAATTGGATATGGAATATGAACGTAGTTACTACGCAAGTCGAATGCCCGACAATGTAAAGTTTTTCCTTCAAAACTTCTGTCAGGCCATTAAAGAGGGTGTACTATTCGATATACAAAATATGTACGAGAATACATTTCCACAAATTAGTGACCATCATTTCGATAAAAGCGCTTGGCCTGATGAGCAAGAAGTAGCGTCGATTGTAGATAACGATAAAGTTTTCTTAATTTTATACAAAGAATTGTACTACCGCCACATTCACGCACGTATACCCGGTGGTCCTAAATTAGATCAACGCATAAATTCGTTCTTTAATTATTGTGATTTCTTCAACCTAATAATTTCATCACAAAATCCAGTATCATTGGAATTACCTGATGTCTGGTTGTGGGAATTAGTTGATGAGTTTGTTTACCAATTCCAAAACTTTGCGCAATACAGGTAATTGAACATTTAAGTTCTTAAGTTTCCTTTAATATTAAAACAAGCTATTTTATAGAGCGCGTCTTACTGACAAGACACAGGAAGAGATTCAACAACTTTGTGTTAATCATAGTAACGTTTGGAGTATACTTTGCATATTAAACGTTCTTCACTCTCTGGTGGATATTTCAAACATTAAAAAACAACTGGAAGCAATTTCCCAAGGAAATGATCCTCAAACTGTTGCTGGAGAGTTTGGCGAATTATCGTTTTATAAAATGTTGGGTTACTTCTCTTTGGTAGGCCTCTTGCGTGTTCATTCACTGTTGGGCGATTATTATCAAGCCATTAAAGTACTGGAGCCTATAGAAATCCACAAGAAGTCRCAGTATTCTCATATACCTGCCTGCCAGATTTCAACTTCATACTATGTTGGATTTGCATACATGATGATGCGCCGTTATGCTGATGCTATACGCACTTTCTCTGAAATCCTCTTGTACATTCAACGCACCAAGCAGTTGTACAGCACGCGCTCATACCAAAACGATCAAATTAACAAGCAAGCTGAACAAATGTACCACTTGCTGGCAATCTGCCTTGTTTTACATCCACAATGCATTGATGAGTCAATTCAACAAGTTCTTCGTGAAAAGAATTATCATGATGCTATGTTCAAGATGCAATGTGGCGATTTGGAAGTATTTAAATCGTTCTTCATCTTCGCTTGTCCACGATTTGTTAGCCCATGCCCGCCCGCCGCCGATGCTCCGATGGAGGATTACGTTAAAGATCCAATGGAACATCAATTGATGGTCTTTATGGATGAAGTGCGTCAGCAAAAGGACTTGCCTACAACACGTTCTTATCTCAAACTGTACACAACATTACCATTAGCCAAATTGGCCTCATTTATCGATTCAAACGCCAGTGAAGATGACGTTTCAAAACTTCTTATTCGTTTGCTTTGTTTTAAGCACAAAATGCGTAACTTGGTCTGGTCCAAGGGTTCTAGTGGTTTGGAAGGGTCTTTCAAATCTGGTTCAGAGGTAAATTTAATTCGAATTAATTATATATTTTTTCTTGGTTCTAAAAAATTTTTCTTATGTAGTTGGACTTCTATATTGATGATGATATGATCCATATAGCCGATACGAAGATTTCACATCGTTATGGAGACTTCTTTGTTCGAAAAATTATGAAGTTCAATGATCTTAACCGTAAATTGAAGAATATCCACATTTAAATTGTGTACCAGCAAATTATTTGTAATCATTATTTTATTTATAGAAAATGCGCATAAAAACATATAGCAAACCCCATATGTAATAAAGTTTATAGAAGCGCCAATTATTATTTTTTTTTACATGAGATAAATGCTCTGGGTTTATGCATGAACGGCATTTATTGACACATACTTGTAGTAGTAGCAAACATTATCCTAGTATCAGAGTTGATAGTCCTTAGTCAGAAACTTAACGGACTTCGTTGGAGTTACCACTGTCGTGGTGCCATACCTYCAAAGCGCAATGTTATTGCATATTGTCATTTCAAACTCCCARGAAATCCATTAGCAGGCAATGAAAATATGGAGAAGTACAAAAAATTGTTTGTTAAGGAGATTTYATGAGTTACCTAACTGATTAAACAATGTTGTTAAGTCTCCACGTTAGGCTGTATTAAAACTTTGCTCCATTTACTACTTTTCAATGAAAGGACGCCGTATATGTGATCAAAGGAATTAATTTATAAAATTAAAACAAAATTTCTGCATAAATTTCTTTGGTTATACGAATTTAAAATAGTAATTATATTTGAATAGAAATAAGTTTACAAAAAAAATATATTTTTTTAAATTATACACACACCATCAATCACTAAACCAACAAAGTCTTGCAAAAAACAAGTTTTACTAGAATTGAAAGTGATTTGTATTTTAAGAAAATACGCTCAACTTTGACATAAAAATTGCTGCTCATCTTTCACTCTACACTGTTCTATTCTGTTACGGCATTTTGCTTCAGTGTCATATACACCCTGTGTTATTTAAAAGTGCACTCGTTACTTAAACTTTTTGTAGTGATTCAAAGTGGATTTCTTAAAATTCTCTTAAATATTTTAAGCTTAAAACTACATATGATGAAATCTTATTTCAATTAGTATATAATACAAATTTGTGCACCGACAAACTTAAAGTCGGGTGCTATTCGTTAAACCTACATTAAAATACACAGTTCCATTAATATTTGCGCGTTGTGCATCACTCATACACTTCCTAGTTCAGCCGATGGGTGTATGACCTTGATTGACATCGATYAGATAAATGTCCTTGTGATTTTGCAACACAAAATCAATAAATGCATTTATCGGTCGGATATCCTCCAAGGTGGTGTTATTCTTGTTCGACCATAAAAAATTTGGACCGAATACAATAGCTAAATTTGACGATGTCATTTTGTTTAGATCCTCACATTCCATAACCTGTGGACACATGAAAAATATATCGTATAAACAAYACGAAACGTGAAAATGTTGGAATTTAAAACTTACGCGGACTAGAAATTCGACTAAGTACTTAAAAAGCTCATAGTTTTCTTCAGGTAATTTTTCTCTTATAAGCTGCGTCACATTACGAGAGCGTTCCTCCTTTGGCCAATCTGTTAAATTAACATAAATAATTATAATTTTCCATATACATACGGCATATTTGTTTACCTAGRAAACTAGTGATGTCGTCGTACAACTCGAATGTGAGTAGTGGTTCACTTAGATCCCGCAAAAAACTTTTTAACAGCCCGGCAATGACGTGAACATTGACATTTGACAAGTCCACATCTTCTCCACGATTAACTCGCTCTTTTAGTGCAATTATCTCGGAATGATTTCCTGAACGGCGAAAWATACCCTCTGTGTCAATCATACCTGTGATGGACAGAGAGTCGACGCATTTTCGTACTATTGGTGGTATGGAGTTGAGACATGGGCTATTGGATACGATGAATTTAAGCGGAGCGCCAAACTGCACTGTGTTGGCCATTTGTTTTGTTGTGTTATTGTTACTTCCACCGTACCCGTATCCAAAGCTGGATGGGGTGCTTTTACTGCGAAATAATTGCTCGTCAAAATCACATACGCTATCGGGTACCTTTATCTTTGAGAGACCCAATGCTTGGCGTAATTCATCCAAACTGGAAATATATACGAGTTTTTGGCGAAATTTGTCGCTAATGAATGGACTAAAAAATTTCCATATAAAACGTATGAATAATGTAGGATGGACTACATATAGATTTTTGAGATTTTTACGAAAATTGCGGTCCAATTCTTTGTAAGAATTCCAAAGCAATTGCGCCGATGGTTTGCTATGTTCCCTAAGACCTTGATGAAAATATACGAGAATATAATCATTCTCTACAAAYGGTTCGATTTCTTTTATAACATCACTAAAATGGAAAAGCATAATTGAAATATTTTACGGAAGCAGTAAACACAAAATACAAACCAGATGAATTTTTCCATTTGAGATTTCTCAGGAAACCGTGATGCATAAATTGCAAATATATGCCTTCCCTGCTTGTCAGTGCCAAGAAAATCGCATCTATTTTTAACGCTACCAATGGCCTCAGACTGTTCCTAAATATTTGCAYAACAGAATATATATTTTGTAAGTTAAAATTATTATGTTTTTAACTAACCTCCCTCAACTGATCGAAATCGTCTTCCAGCGGATTTACTATCTCTGCAGGCTCGATGTCTTCGTCTGAAAGTAAATCATATGTTTTATTTTAACATTTGTTTTTTATACATATATGTCTGTTACATGGCTTACCTTCTGCTAATACGAAATCGTCAACCATAACATCCTCTAAAATAAAATTAATATTTTAGCTGCAATATCATTAATTAACTGTGGACATTTGACAAAATAATCTAATCAGAACAAAATATTGAAAAAATTTGTAATTCTAATTGTTATCCTTGCATTTCATACACACTAAATAATTATATTCAAACTCAAATGTCCCCAATTATGATAGAGATAATGGGGTACATACTTTGCAACGGTGTTGGCGATAGTAATTCTGTATCGTCAAACTCCAATTTGGGTTCAAAATCATGCAAATCTGACAAACTCGGCTGAGGYTCTTCGGAATTCTCCACCACCGGATTTATTGCTGGTCCTGCGGGGGTAAAATAACGAATTATTTCCAAAAACAAATATATGTAATTATATGACATACTAATCTTACAATTAATTTTTAGCCTTTAAGCGGCAAGAAAATTGTGTATTGATTATTAATAATGAAGAGAAAGTTGATCATTTAATGTATTTCTCAAATAGTTATTAAAAAAATTATCAAGCAACATTAGTAAGTGTGTACCACACATATCAAACAAGACAAGCGGTAAACTATTTTTCAAACYACAACATGCAGCATATAATCATATTTGTAATGGAATTCAAAACAAATATAAGTAAACAAGCAAAATACAATTTAAAATCGTATGAAAGCAATACTGATGTTGACTTCTACATAAATATGTATATCCACAAATTTTATAAGTCACTTTAAAAGCTAATGTATWCCGATAAATATACCAAAAATATAGGGATGACATTGAGCTATAAAATTTCTATACGTAGTTATAATTACATATTTAACTTATAACGTTTAGTAAAACATATTTTGAAAATAAATGTTTGATCATGCTCCTTTATTAACACTTCATTCAAGCTATATATTATACTTACCAGGAAGCCGAGAGGTCGCATGGGCATTTCCTAGCGTGATATCCATTGCCCAAGGCTTTTGTGTCACAGTTTTAATATTTACGCTGTTTTAAAGCAAAATCACTATGCTTCTGTGTTCCTATTTTAGAATGCTATAAAGAAAGGAGGAAGTATTCAAAACAATAACAAATATGAATGAGAATGTGTCTGTTAAACAAAAAAAATTACTAACATCATTGAAAGGGAAATACACTTTGTTAGGTTTCGATGATAAGAGTTAGATAAGATTTCAACTGTGTGAGATACTTATTATTGAAAGTATGAATATGCTTTCCGTTGCATGAAATGATCGAAGCAAAGGTTGCAAGTTATTTAATATTTTTAAACCATTTCCATTAATGCATGACGTCATACAATATAACGGGGAAATATATTGTGCCATACAGATACACTTCAATATTTGRTAGCGAATTAATCAAGCAATGAAATGTTTACGATAACCTTTGTTAAAGTTCACTATAACCATTGTTTGGCATTTATACACCTAGGCACTCGGAGGAATTAAATAAGCAGATTCACGGATATGCATTTATGTATATGTTTTTATAAATGTAATTTGCTTATCAAAGCTTCGTTGTATACTATGTGTATTTTGTGTTGCTGTTGTTTTAATGAGTTGGGTGTGTTTGTGTTACTATGCTATTTCCACCCAAGAAAACGACACAATTAACACTTTACGAATTTCACACTTTTGTTTAAAACATAAAAGTTCATTATAAGTCGACAATTAAAGTATACTTGTTAAAGTAGTGATTAATTTTACCTTTAACTTTTCTTGTTTTCCCTGTTATTCCGTTTGACTTTACAACTTTTTCTACGCCTTTTGCTTTGTAAACTGGCGTTTAACGGTCAGCAGTGTTGTTAACGCTAAACTTTTTGCCAAATCAGWGGGTAAAAAAAAATATTTTTTAATTAAATGTCTTATTAGATTTTTACATATTGAAATTTCTGTAATATTTTTAGTAACACTATTTTGCAAAAATATTTAAACAATGACTGTCTGTTTTGCTTAATTATAAAGTTGAAAAATAGTTTTTAGTTATTAGTTTTGAAATGGCAACTCTATTTCTAATTTGACATTTGCAGAAAGTCCGAGCTCCCAAAATAATATTACAGATGACCAGTRCAAACAGCAGGTGAACTGAAATGTTCTATAGTGAAATGGTAAATTAATAATACATTGGTAAGCTTTAATTAAAAAAGAATTATGTAGTAATATTTTTTATWTTTAGATACGTTCAATACGAATAAGTTAATGACTTAATTACAACAGAAGCTTAAATTTAGCGGCGAAAGTGAATCTTTACATGTGAAAATATTGTGAACTTTGGCACATTGCTTCACTTTCACTATAAGTGAGAAATATTTATTATAGCTATATATTACAAAGAATGGCTACAAAGCGACGACCTTTGCGTACTAGCGCTGCCGGTCCGAGTTCCTCCAATATGAATTTTAGACCAGGTGGTCCAGACGTGAAAAGAGCGGAGGCTAAAGGTACACGACCTACTGCGGCCCCAACCAGCGTTAGGGAGATACTTGTTATGATGGTTATGCATGCATGTAAAAAGACAATTTTCTTTGATACCAATCTAAAAGTAGCGCTATACTTGGGTAGTTTRTTCTTGGTTTCGTTGATCGGCGATTTTATACCATTTCCAAAAACATACTTTGCCCGTTCAGATAATTTATTCAACGTATACTTTGTAAAAGTTGGTTGGGGTTGGACATTAATGCTAACAGTGCCGTTTCTTGCAATGACATCGTATACTCTATGTTGTGGTGACATGAARAAAATGCTTCGTCATCATATCCCTCGAATTGTCATTGCTACTTTCTTTTGGCTCTTCTGGACTAAAATGTTTAACATAATCGAAACATCCTATGGACGCTGCACAGTGAAAGGTAAATGAAATATGTGCACTAATAGTAATATTTCTAAAATAATTTTTTATTTTTATTTTAGGTTTCGGAACAAAATCTGCCTGTCTGAAGGCAGGTCACTTATGGAATGGTTTCGATATATCAGGACACGCATTTATTTTAATACATTCGAGCTTAGTTTTAATCGAAGAAGCTCGTCCAATCATTAAGTGGGAGTCCATTAAAGACTACCTTCGCAATGAAATACACGATCGTAGTATATCGGAACATTCAAGCACAAACCCATTAAGAAATTTATCAGAAGAAGAAATGCGTAATCTTCAATTTCTTTATGATCGACTAACGCCAATTATACGAACATTATTTATTGGCATGGCGACGCTACAGTTGCTATGGGATGTAATGTTAGTTGGCACTATGCTTTATTATCATCACATGGTAGAAAAAGTAATTAGTGGCATAATTGCAATATTAACATGGTACTTTACCTACCGATTTTGGTATCGCACAACTTTATTACCGGATCCAGCTGGTAGTGGATCATTCTTTTACCAACGAGAGAACAAAGATACCTTTGTTTATGGTAGACGACCAACTATGACAACAACAGCTCCTACCAATGTCAATGCCGGATGTCGAGGCAATATGCCGACTGGTGCCTTCAGTGGATTAGCAGCACAACCCAAATTTATGGGTATGCCATTGTATACGAATATGCGGACTGCGAGCACGGCTGCTAGCGGTAACCAAACTGGAACTAGCAATAACGGTGTGGATTTAAACTCATAGTACTCTATGAGATCACTTATTTGTAAATCTAAGTTGGTTGTTTGTCAAATAATTTAATTGTTCGAATTTGTTGTTTAGTATATTTTGATAGAAAGTGCGTAAAGTGAAACCTGATGAGGCTTACTGAAATGGTAATGGTATATTCTCTATTAATATAGAAAGTTAAATTTAGTAGTCTTTAGATCCAAACATGACAAAAATCTTATATTTGTCTACATTAAAATTATGCATAATCCCTTTAAATTTTTAACGATGTACATTTTTATTGGTAAGAGTAAATAATAATTAAATAAACCATTACCGTTTTACAATTCACTTTTTTATTGATTTACTTCATTTAATGGTATTTGCCAGATTTATGTAYATACACATATATGTATACAATGATTTTCCGTAAGCTCAGAAGTCACTTATTTATGAGCAAGAGCAGCGAACATGGCCATGCCCAGGAATCCYGCACCGGCACCGATTTTGTAATTTGCCGGTGTATTCTGCCAGATGTCCTTSAGTATTTTAAAATTGCTCGGCATCAGTTTTTGATATGTGGGGCGTTTTTTGAAACGCAGAAAATAACTTTCTACATATGGYAATTTGCCATATGCCCAATAGTAGTTTTCGAATCCCAATTGATAAAGCCTATGYAATAATAAACCGAAACTAATATCGGCTAAAGAATATTCATTCGAAATCAGCCATTCGCGTCCAGGGTTTTCCTTGAAGTCATTGTCGATGTATCGCAAAACATTGTTGACGGCATCGAGTATTTTCTGAAATTCAACCCGTGATTGAATTAACCGTTTACGTCTGTCTTGTATATCAAGTTTGCGCAGCAGGCCCGATTTATTTGTTTCGGCATCTTCGATGGATCTTTTCAACAATTCATACACTTTCTCATTATTTTCTGAAAATAAATAATTGATATAGAATATAATCAGGATTAAGAATTTYTTAATTCAAAAAAATTAAGGTTAGATTAAAAAATTTTAGAAATCCGGTTTGTGGGATTAATTATTTTTTCTAATTTAGAATTACATTTTTTCCAAATGGGTATTGGAGGCTCATTTTTTTTATTTTTTAATATAATGCAATTTTATAAAAACTTTCTTGTTTCTAATATGTTTCAAAATGGCATTATTCCATTTGATATTTGCTAGTTATTGAAAATCAAAATTCCAGTTTTAACTTTCCAAATTAAATACCATAAATAACTAATAATTCCGTGTTTGTACATAAACTCACTCAGACATGATTTACGAATAGGACCAATAAATGGCGGCTTCGGTGCCAACTTTAGATCGTCGTGGATGAAAGAGCCCAAACTAAGTGCACCCACGGGCAACTGATTTATTATGCTGTCGTAGAATTCCATTTTTTTGAATTCGTCGGCATTATTTCCACGCGGCTTCAAGGCGCTATGGATACCTTGATTAAAATCAAAATACTGTGATTTACGAAATATCTTTAATTAATTATTTTGACTTGCCTCCTCTATATTTATTTTCCACATAACTGATAATGTGATTGGAGTCGGGTATAACAAAAGTGCCATCTTGCAGGACAGGAACATCGCCCTTTGGATTGAGGTTAAGGAACCATGTAGAATACTGTTCGCCGTTAGCTAAATCAATAGCATGTGGCACAAAGTCGATATTCTTCTCGTAGAGTATCAAAATAACCTAAAAAATATTAAAAATTATATTAAAATTTGACAAAATATATATAAGAACTGAAAATATTATTAAGTTAGGGTTATTATGAAATAAGACCTAAATTTAAAAATGCTTTTAAGTATACATATATAAATATGTAGTGACCTCAAAATTATTTATTAATCAAAACTGTCAGCTGGTAGCGGTATTAGTAGTATAGAATACAACTTTAATATATTGTGGAGATAAAAAATCCGAAAATATAAATAAAGCAAGAAAGGCTTTGTTCAATACTGTACATACATAGGTCTCATTGCAGAAGCTTTTGAAAATGATAAAAAGAAAAGGAAGTTAATAATATGTAGGTTCGTTGAAAACGAAAGTTAAAATAACAGAAATTAATGGAAAAATAATTTACGGGCATCTGCGGTCGGGAAGAGGAAGAGCAGGGGCATGATTGAATGATAAAAAAGGTTTAAACGGTTAAAACTACGGGTCCTATAAAAAAAGTTATACCGTTATAAAATTGTAGGTAATGAAAAGGTCTACAACTTTAGTATCAACACCTTTTGGCYATAACCCGAAAATTTACGTCAAAATTCAAATATCTAAGATTGTACAAATATAAAATTTCTTTCGCAAAATTTGGTGTAAACTTACAATCTTATTTTTCATATAAAATGTATTTTTTAAATTTAAAATATTAAGGAGTATCGAAAAATCCTAATTTTCAATAAAAAATTCTCACATTAAAAAATCAGATGTTTTTAGAAAATATATATTGCTATGCTACATTTGCTAAGAATATGCAAACAAGATCTCAACCCGATCTCTGATGGAAGAAAAGTTCCTTTACTGCGGCAATGATTTCGGCTTTCTCTTTGGATGAAAAACTCTGTACTTTAAGATATTTGTTCTTACAATGACCTGGAGCCAAAAAAATAAAAATTTACAAACAACAGCGCTTTTACAAAAGTTAAATTTTACCCAAAATTTTAAATATTTTCAAATATGTACCTTCGAACAAAAAAAAAAAAAAACACGTTTAAGGGGTTACATGGGTTTACGGGTTTCAAAAAATCAAATTTTTATTATCTTATTTAATTCTCCTACACCTCTATTATTTATAATATTTTCCTAAATTTTCAAGTTTATTCGAGTAATAGTTTCGGAGATACAGCAATGAGATCTTGTGCGCTCGAGGCTAACTAGGCTAAGTGCGGCGTCTTTATACGCGTTTTTATTGAAACTGTRCCTTTGATGTCGGTTGGAAAGATTTCTCCAGAACCATTCAACCGATCTTCATGAAATTTTAGACAAGTCTTTGAGATACAATTCTTAAAGACTTGAATTTTTTCTATTTAAAAAAAAAAAATAATAATAATAACAGCAAAATTGTCACTCAAAGTTTAATTTTTTTGTAGAAATGTCTGCCAAAAATCCAATTTCCATCTTTTTTTGAGGGCTCNAATAATAATAACAGCAAAATTGTCACTGAAATTTTAATTTTTTTGTAGAAATGTCTGCCAAAAATCCAATTTCCATCTTTTTTTGAGGGCTCGCCGAAAATGTCGTCGCAATGGCAGAGTTAAAAAATTTTGTTCTAAAAATTTCAGCATTTCTTTGATAAAGTGTATGTTTGTAACAGTAAAAAATTCTAATAAAATATTTAATTTTTTATATGAGAAAAGAATTTTTGAAAAAGGACTGTTTTTTTTAACCATCTAAGCCTTAAGTAGCTGATGTAAACAAATCGGTTGACAGATCATGCTCATATTTGACATTGKAATTAAGGATAGTAAGATTAATTGYAAAAACTCAAGAATTGTTAAATTTAAACATGTTTCAACATTTCTTTTTCGCGGTTTATTCGATAATTTTATATACAACAAAATTATGAAGTTGAAATATGAATCAGAGACAGTATTATAATACAATTATTATAATTTCAGACAGAAAATGTATTATGTTTATTTTTTTCTTTAAACAATAGAAACATAATGGCCGTTCCTTATGGAAAAGTATTGTATTACAAGCGAATTGTATTACTTTCAGTACTTATTTAAATCATTTCTCMAAATAAACTCAGTAACGGCATGCAATATTAGTATACTAATTAACATACATATTTATGCATGTATTAGTATGTGTTGCAACTCTAAATGTAGAAACATTGTTGTCTGAGGTTTGCATTTTCAAAATACGATCTACATACATACATACATACATATATGTGAGTAAATGTAAGTAGATGTTCACTCTTCTCTCGAATGGAACCAGTATTCACACTTAGAAGCAATTTGTTTCCCTAATCTAATTGAATTTATGTAATTTCCAAGCCTGCCGGTCAAAGCTTCCAGTACTTGTAGCGTGTGTAAGTGCAATACATTAGGTTGAGGCTAATTAATTGAAGTGTAAGCACGTCCAGCGACTTAGTGCTCAGTGAGTAGATATGAAGCTATCACATGACCGACCACTATACTCACCTTTTGTGAATGGAAGTTATAGGGATGGAAGTAAAGTACTAAACTGTCGTCTCTAAATTGTGGAGCTGTGAACTCCTTCAAGACTGGTGTCGATGYAGTTGTCGATGGATGAGTTAACGTTGTTTGGGTTTTTGCAGCTGTGTCAATATTATTTGCACTCATTTTAGAGTATTGTAACGGAAAAAGGTTATAAAATTAATATTTTATATATCAATATTGTTTTTTATTTCAAGTGCGTATATTTATGCAATTAGTGGTGCGTGAAAACTAAAACGATATAATAAAGACTAAGGCCGAATAAGTCAAAGTTTTATCACATGCTCGACTTTTCAAATTTTCTGATACACAAACCCTCCGTATCTATGCCTATACATAGGTATGCGTGTATTAACGGTTGAAAACTGGTGAGAGTAGACCACTTTGGCTAGAATGAACTGATCGCGTACGAGATTCGTTAACAACTGCGGCAGGTCGTGTTAAATTTGGCTTACATACAAACTAAACAGAGAATTTTTAAAATTAGTTAATACCTTATATCTTTGTAGTTGTGCAAGTATGAAAACACACATACGAAATATTCGCGTGACGAAGGGTTGGCGAATTGGGAACAACAGAATATTCAGTTCTCTCGTTAGTAAACAATTAATAAGTAACCCTGAGATTTTGATTCCAGAAGAGAGCGCATGACTTTTTTGTATAAATGATGATAAACAAATTTACACTGCTCAGACGTTTATACACATATTTTAATAACTGTAAACATTTCGCCTAAAACAAAATAAATTAAAACATGAAGATGAATGTGATGTACCTTCCATCTTGTTATTTTGAAATTTGAATGTGGTTATAACGGGTTTTTCAAAAGGAACGCTACACAAGTAGACCGAAAGGGGCAGCAAACGAGGCCATATTTTTCCCGTTTTTTTTGATATTTCTCTTCAGTAMGTTTTGGCATTTCATCCTTGAAAGTTATACGAACCAACAACGAGTCGAAGGCCTCAACTTTAAGAGCGCTAAGTACAATTTATGGCCGTCATAATCGTTCTGTCAGATCAACAATTGATCAATTGAGGAAGATCCAAATCATTCTATCATACGTCGTGTCAAGAGTTGGGCATGACGTCGATGTGGCGCATTTTGCGAAAAGATCTTGGCCCACATMCTTAAAAGTTCAAATTGCCGGAAGAACTGTAGCCGCTTGACTACTAGAAACGCAGTATGTTCGTGAATTGGGCTGAGCAACATCTTGAAAATGATCGAGAGATCATCTTCAGCGATGAGGCTGATTTCTGGCTGAATGGCTCCTCAATAAGCAAAATATGCGTTATCAGTCAGGCAGCAATTCACATGTACTACATGAGTCACAATTGCATTTGATAACCGAMTATTTTTGCCCYGAATTGGATGGTATGGACTTAGATAATATCTGGTCACAACAAAACGGCGCCACAATGCGAACGTCACAATCGATTTATTAAAAACTAAATTTGATGAACGTGTTATCTCACGAAATGCCCAGTMAATTGGTCGCCTCGGTCGTGCGATTTGACGCCTTTAAACTATTTTCTGTGGGTCTACGTTAATTATATCGTCTATACCAACAAGCCAGCGACGACTGATGAACTTCGTACGAATATCAAGTTCCATACTGCCATATTGCCATCGAATGCGCTTACTCGGTTTTGATTTATTAAAAAAAAAAAAACATTTCTAGCGCATTTATTGAAAACCCCGTTATTTTTGAAATCACTGAGAATATTTTTCTGATTCGTGTACCCACGTTTCAAAAGTATCGACTCAAACCAAACTACCTAAATTATGTCCTTATATGCAAAAGTAGTTAATTTGTAAATATATCTTCCTGAAATTTAGTACGAATTATTGCTTTGGACAACTGTACAATCTCAGAAAAAATTTTTAGATCGGATCACTATAACATACATCTCCCATATAAACTGATAGATCAAAATCCAATCCTTGTATGGATAACATTTTTTTTGTGACAAGATATCTTCATGAAAATAGGCATGGATTATTGTCAAAGGCAATGGCACAGTTTTCGAAGAAATTGTTTAGAACGAACCACTATAGCTGACCGATCAAAATCGAATTCTTGTGTGGAATCTTTTGGATTTGTGAAGAATGGTACAGCTAAGTGCGCAGCCGGGATTATTTCTTGTTAAACAAAAACCTTCGGTAATATCAGAAAATTCGCTTCTGGCTTTGATCTTTGGATATTGCGGGGGTATAAAATGTTCGGTTACAATCGAACTTAGCTCTCTTCCGTTGCTTGTTTTTATCAATAATGATAGACTCTACTCTACTTTATCATTATTGGTAATACATACCAAAGCTAATGCAAATTTCCTCGGAGTGACTCTATCTATGTACCAAATCTTATAAAGATATCCCAGTGGTTGTTATACAAATTTTTAAATTGATATGGAATATGTTTGCCAACTTAACTGTTATACATACATATGTATGCGTTGAGTTGAAAAAAGATTCGTTAGAAATGCCTCACATTGTGGGTGATTTAATAGCATTTTATCATTATTACTGTATTCGGACAATGTTCACRGATTAACGTGGAAATATTTAATAATTTCATAGTGTTTGGCTTTCAAAGCTCCACTATTTTATAAGGTGTGTATTAAGATTGGGTTAGGTTCAGTTAAACTGGTGGGCCAATAAGATGGTCTATGCGTGCAGTTTTGGTGCTCTTTGAGCTACCAATGGGACCCCAGATGCTTACAGCGGAATCCTGCTAATGCGGGCCAAGTGCACAAGAGATGCTGCACTGTTTACCTGGTGCCCTGTTTCAAACATTTCCTGGAGAATTCTTCGAATTTACTTTAGGAAAGTTTTCTGCCGCTACAACAACAACAGCATCAGCTTGTGGACAGTGGATCATGCGTRGCCATTTTTTTGCCATTTTGAACATTTTAAATTTTTTATATGCATCGACATTGATTATTATATTTAATTTTCGAAAATTTACCTGCATAAAAAAAATTTTTATTTAATAATATGATGTGGGAAATTTAGTGGTTAGTAATTTTATATATACATATAAGATTCTGCGGCTTTCATAAGTTTTTAAACTACAAATTTTAGTGAAATAYTAATTCTTCTTCCTCCTTTTACCTAACAGCTACTAACAGTCATGAAACAAACATGATAGCATACTATTTGCTAGCAACAGGGTATTTCTCAAAACAGCTGTTTTTTATTATTGTCAAAATAAACAATACATTTATCAACCAAATAGATTCATAGAGTGATGTTACTACTAATCGAATTGAAATCGATAACTTTTGATCGCATAAGAAATATTTACTATATTCATACCGAAGCATTTTTATTTGTTTGGACTTGTGTTTTCCCACAAATTGTCAGAAAATTCTCCTTTTTATTAGTGAGAACTTATTTCTTTCAGCTGTAATTAACATATTTGTATTTTTTACGATAAGTATGTTATCGAAAAAAAGTTTGATAACTTTTAACGCTAGTTCGSCCACCCTTGTCTGCTGACAAGCAACACTATTTTTCAGCTGTTTTTATTTGGAATTTGAGTTCGAGGACAAACATTTTATTATTTTTTTTTAACTCTTTGTCAAATGATGTTTTCGTTTTGAATATTACAAAATTATGAATCCGCTTCGTGGGAGTTTAGCAAGTATACCAGGAGCTTTGAGCTCCTTCATCAGTGAAAGTGCTTCCAATTTATTACAATATAATAGTTTGAACAATAGTGCTGCAAGCGCTCAAGATGATGACGTTAGTTCTACTACGTCTCAAAGTGATAAATCATATCCCATACCATCGTCACTAGTAAAAGAMCAATGGCGATTAATCTTTACTTCCGACGCTAATGTTCAAGATTTGGAGGCTGCGATCGCCCATTGTCGTGATTTGGTTATGATCTCAGATGAATGTAGTGAAGAACGACGTTGGTTAGTACGCCATTTAGTCGATTTACGTTACTCTCTTAAAGAGCTACAATCGGCAGAGTCTGATCCTTTGGAAATAGCTCCTCATGTAAAGACAGTTGTGGGCCATCACTTCAACGTTCAGCGAAGTGGTCATATTGGTGCGCGTCAATATTGTGATCATTGTAGTGGCCTCATATGGAGAATGATCCAAGCAAGTTATGTGTGTACAGACTGCAATTTTATAGCGCATCAAAAGTGTGTGGACAGTATAATACGAATATGTGCGCATGTCGTAGCGTCCGAACGGCGCTACCCTATCAGCGAAATATGTCCAGAAATTGGATTGGCGGCGCAAAGATATAAGTGCCCTGAATGTGGAATTTTACTCAATTTCAGTAAGTTTTAAAACATATTCCAAAACTAATTATTGTAGAACMAAAAAAAAAAAACTATTCTTGTGTTAATTTTTGTTTTTTATTTAGCTCTACCCAAGCCGATTAGCTGTTTTGGTTCAAATAAAACAGAGGGTAAACTCATTACTTTCTTATCAATTCAAAAATTTTGCACAGTTGTAACAAAAAATTTAATCGGCATTCACCACTTATCTACACAGCTTATTTATTTTAATGTTACGTACATCATTTGAAACTAACATATAACTTAAACAATGAACTATCTCAGAATGTATTAARTTTGTTTTTATTTCAATAGAAAACTCGTGGATTGAACCTCGTCTTTGCGATTACAGTGGTCTTTATTATTGTCCAAATTGTCATTGGAATGACTATAGCATCATACCCGCTCGTGTTGTCCATAATTGGGATTTTACACAATACAAAGTATCACGTGCTTCGCTTCAGGAAATAAATCTATTTTATGAAAAACCGTTGATAAAGCTGGAGGAGGCTAATCCGAAATTATTTGTGTTCTTGGAGAAATTGGGAAGTGTAAAGAAGTTACGCCAAAATTTATTTTACATGAGAAAATATTTGCTRGAATGCCGTTCAGCAACTGAGGAAAAGCTTCTGGATAAGCAAATAACTAATCATCTTAACAACGACAATGTTGGTGCTAATGAATCTCGTCGCCATCTAATACAATCCACCGAATTTTATTCAATAAATGATTTCGAACTTATTGAAAAGGGCATTTTAGTCGATTATTTGCAAAAAGTGTTTAATGCTTTTCATCAGCATATACGGAATTGTGAACTGTGTCGCGCCAAGGCTTACATATGTGAGATTTGCGACAATAATGAAGTGATATTTCCTTTCGATGATGGTTGTATTATGTGTAATAAATGTAATTCTATCTACCATCGTGTTTGCATGACCCGAAAAAATATGTCGTGTCCGAAATGTATACGTTTGCAAGAGCGAAAAAATCATTTAGAAATTATTAATGCTGAAGATATAAGTGATACGGACGATATTTACTAGTTTAAGCTTTTAAAATGATAAGTTAGAATTAATGCTTTGTAACCACATACATACATATGTATATTTTTTAATT